GACTCTGCGAAACGGGCTTTTGAACTCCATTAAATGCAAATTTGTGAACGGGTGTGGAACGGACGCAGTTGAAAAATTATATCAGTTTTGAACGGGCTCGGAACGGAGTTCGAAATTTTGAACGGGGGGGTTCCGACGCACGTTCCATGTTTTTTTTTCGCGCTTGGGTAGTTAGTACATTTTATAACCGAATGCAACAGCCGCTACGGCGGGAGGTTTTACGTACCGCTAGTGCTGGCTATAGATAAAACAATGGCATATGAATTTGCAGAACAGTCCGGTAAGATCGGCATGTTTTTACAGAGACGAACAGCCGCTCCACTAGTACTATGCTACAAAATTCAAAGAATGATATACGAAAGTTTATTTTATATAAAGTGAATAATAAAGGAAAATAACGATAAAACTTTCTGATGTCACACATTCGGATATGAACGGCTTTGAAGTATGACTATGCAGCAGAAAACTCCACTTGACAGTGAATAGCTCTTCAGTCTTCCTGCAAAACATCTTATGCATTTCAATGCCAGAAGGCAATGAAGATAGGTCATAATCTTTCTAGGGGGAATACGCAGAATCAAAACAAAAGAAAGAAAGAAAGGCTTTTGCTTACGAACAATTGTTCGTCTTCATATACTTATGTATATGAAGACAAAACTGAACATCTGACGGCAAAATTATTATGTACATTCTGGTATTTTTTGTTGAATGTATGTTTGTTCTATCAACAACTTCAACTGCAATAACTGTACCAAACATCTCTCAAAAGTGCCAGAAAAAGAGGGATGTAACAATTTAGATGGCAGCAGACCTTTACTAAGCTCAGGATTGAATCAAAAGAGTGTACTTCTTCCTGTTTGTAAAATATTGATTAGTATACATTTGTTTCGTGTACTTTTTTTCCATTTTCACTTTTACTTATTTATTTTCTTTCCATTTTTCTTGTATTCACAAATAAAATAGTTTATAGTAGCAATAACAAATAGACAAGAGTGACTGAATAAAGTGGCTTCTTATGACAGAACAAGAAAAAGAAAAAAGATGGCATCGACGACAGAAAGAAGAGAAAAACGAAAGTAAAGAATGCCTCGTATATTTGTTTAACTTAGCAAGTGGAGTAAAGTCCACGTAGCGCCGTTATTTCTTCTTAACAAAATCAAAAGTTATTAAAATATTAAAATGCGAAGTTCTCCATCAGCAGAGCAACCAGTTCTGTCTGTTGTAGCGTATAAATCTGGTTCAATGGCATCTCCTCAAGCAGCAAAAGCTTTTAAAACACCAGAAAGTAGAATCGCTTTTTTTAAACTATTGCCCAAAATACTGTGCATGTTTAATGTGTGATACAAAATATTGTTCTTCTTTGTTTAATAATGTTTTTCGACCAACATCTATCTTCAGTTCTGAATTTGATGCGCGATTACGAATTGTACTTACTGATACTTTAAAGATTTTGCTGCTTGAACAAAATTATACACTGCAACAGCATTCTTTACATATTTTCAGACGTGTATTATGGTTTAGAACATGAACGACATCTACTAAAACTACTCATTCTAACATAATAGTATAAGGAAATTTTACTAAATACTAAGAGCTTCGCAAACGAAAAATTTAGCTTATAATAATTTAAACTTAAGAATAGCAAATCCTCTATTGATCTGGAGACTGCTCGATTGTTGAGAAGAGCTACAGAATGGATTCCAGCTTCAAAGTTAGACTGGCGTTGTGTAGAAGTGGTTTGACATATTGTTCAACATTAGAAAGAAGATCAGTGTTTGTTAAGTTACACACGAGGGAATCTCTCGAGATGATAAAAGGCTGTTTGATCGAAATCTAGTGGGTTATAGGTTATCGACCATGCTGATCCCGAATATGATTATGAGGGTTACCCTTAGTCGTTCGAAGATCCGTTTTTCTGGAAAATCAGTCTTTCAGAAACTCTAAAAAATAACCAAAATTTTTCTTAATGAGTCACGATTGTAGCCCGCAAACTTTTTGATTGAAATCAGGCATCTTCCAGCTCTACATGACCTTTCTTTGCAAAGTTATAGAATTCACAAGAAATGTTCATTGCCAGCTCAAAGTTACAGAAATCAGAAGTAAAAAATTAATTTAAGGCTTTTCTTGTAAATTCTATAACTCTGCAAAGAAAGGTCGTGTAGAGCTGGGAGACGTCTCATTTCAATCAGAAATTTGCGGGCTACAACTACGACTTATTAAGAAAGGTTTCGGTTATTTTTTAGAGTTGAAAAATAACCAAAACCATAAACCTCAAGAACTGGTTTTCCAGAAAGCTGGATCTTCGAACGCCTAAGGGCAACACTCATAATCATATTCGGAATCAGTATGGTCGATAACCTATAACCCACTAGATTTCGATCAAAAAGCGCTTTATCACCTGAGGAGGTTCCCTCGTCAGAACTAACGACTGCACGTAGTTGTGGCCGAGAGTGCCCTAATCAACTTTTGTACCGAGGATATGTCATAATTTTGAATTTCGGGTAGCGCAATACTTGTTTTTATAATCCTTCATCCTAAGTTCTTTACATCTAAATTAAACTTCATTTCTTTTCTCCGATTTCTAAACTGAATTTGTTTCTTTCCAGCAAAATCTTTTGTGATTATTCAATGCAAATTTTGTTTCTGAAAACTATATTTACTTTGTAGATACTTAGTTACTGTGCACTTACATTACAAATTCTTGATTTGATTCTGCTCTGAAAAAGTTAAAAAACGCAGATAAGGACTAGGCCTTCAAGCCTTTATGCTATATAAATTCTTTTAAGTTGAAAAATGTTAGAAGATATATGCATGTTTAGTATATATATGCGTTAACACGAAGCATCTTTCTTCGTTTGAAATTTACACAGCAAGAAATACACGTGTATCGATCGTATAATCATCAGGTCGCACAAGCCCCAAGTGGCGTTAGTTTATCTGCATGTAACGAATTTTGGAATCACCAAGCTGTTACCAGATTGTACATAATTTATTGTTAAAAAGATTCCCAGCTTCGGCTAATAAAGCCTACTACTTACTAAGTGCATAAAAAAAGAATTTTCTATGCAGGTGCCATCCATCATCCACAGTTTACCTTGTTTTCTGTTAGCGAAAAAAAATGAAAAAGATATAACAATCATATTGCCAGTTTTGGTCAAGAGTTTTACTGTATTTTTGAATTCCATTTTTGTCACCTGTTCATAGAAAAGGTTCAGAGGAAGGCGGCTTTGCGCTAAACCCAGAAAATGTGTGTGTACGTTCTACAAAGAGTTTTATTTGTTCATTTTGCGTTTTTCATTAGTATGAATTAATCTAAAGCCAGAACGATTTGGACAAAACTGACATAGATCAAAGGTTATGATGAGGCTAAACTATGGTGAGAATTTGACCCCAAAATGCGACTATTCATCTATATGAATATCAAAAGATCAGTGTTTGGTATAGAAATATCACTAGATGTGTAGAGAGGCACTTAAGATGGAAAATATCATTGAAAAACCTGACTAATCTTTCTTTAGTGTTTAGCTATTGATGTAGATTTGGGAGAAAATGATTCATTGCTCATCTTAAAACTAACAAACGTAATTTCTGTTTTTCTTCTTAGAATGTATAGCATTCATCTATTAATTATGTTAATATTAGCCGACGTATTATAGACGACGATTGACAACGTTCAGTAAGCATTTCTTTAACGACAGAAGCATTATGAAGTTCATTACTATAACTTTTATTGATTTGCTTCACTATCATTGTTATCACAAATAAAACAAAAAATAAGTAAACAGAGCAGCAAACAGCTACTTTTGTAGAGATCTGTAAGTAGGGTATAAATACATAGTTTTGAAATAGGTACTAAATCCACTGTCATTGTTTCTCTGAGATGTGGCCACTGTTGTTGGTTTTTGATACTAACGATAGGTGTTTGTGTTTTTCCGAGACGAAATAGAAAAATCATTTGAATAGTTGTCGAATGAATAAGTCTTAGAAATCCTATCTGCATACTGACTACTTATTATATTTACCTTCTTGTACACTTACTATCATCACACGAACAATATTTTGGTATACATTTCAAATTACTTTTTACACATATGCAAGATTTGCAATTTCCGCTTTTACATCCGCATGACGTTGCGAGTGATGGATCTGGAGTTGTAGATTTAGTAATCCATTTAACTTTTAAGTTTCCATTGATATTTTCAAAACCATTGTTGTCACAGATTAATGATTGAGCATTTCTGCACCACATATTTACAGCAACAGCTGCTCTTTTAAAATGTTGAAGAGCAGCATCGGTCGTTGGAGGTAGAGCTTTCAAAGCTGTAATATCACTAGACATTAAAAAAATTGTGTGACATAAGAGTAGAGACAAGTCAGCGATTGTTTGATGAAAAGTCATAGACAATGTATAAACTACTTCACCTAAAAAAGTATAAATAACTCACTCAAATTTTCTTGGCCATTTTTTTATCATATTATAACGTTCTTCATCCAGAGTTTTGCACTGGGATTTGAGCGTCTGCAACAAGAGGATTTCACAGTCATTTATTGTTTCTGCTCTCAACTGTAATATATCCAAATTTTCAATAAATTTGAAACGACTTTTATTTTCAAAATAAGTATTAATTAAATTTGACTTTGTAACATTTCGTATATATGAGGTATATTCGCTACCACTCAATGCGTGTAGCATAATGATGGGCTTGATTGAATTTATATTATACTTTCGACGCATCGATAAGTTTAGTTCAGTGCAATTAATAAATTTCTGGATTGGTTCACTGCGATAGACATAGCTACAATCGACTATTAGATTGAACTGAAGTGAATCGGCGTATGCAACGGCTAATACGAGTACATCATTTTTTTTTGATTTGATACAAACCGTGTTTGATTCATAGTGTTCGATTGTTGTACGACAATGCTCTATCACACGTGAGTTAATGTCATACTGTTCTGGTATGATATTTTGAACGAAAACGTTTCCCTGTTCTTTTGTCATTAGTAACAATCGTTTATCAGGACATGAAACCATTATTAATTTCTCTTTGGGAATATCAAAATTTGATGTCTGCCATAGATTGCAGACACATTGACCGATACTTGATCTATTGTTTTTTGCTATCATCTCCCATTCCGAAGGTCGTGGCATTATGAAATTAGATTTTAACTGGTTGATTGATAATTTTTTTTCTTTATTTTCATTTTTAGCTATTATATCATGCAACGTGAAATCTGTTTCACACGAAAACACAACGTCGATTCGATGATAATTACTAGTCAATGGTAGAATTCGTTTGAGAAACATATTATTTGCATATTCACCGTAAGTGTCGCATCGACGTTGCTCGCCTAAAAAAAGTAATTGATATATCGCATATAGTCTTGAAAAATTGCAACAATTGAACCAAGAGCATATGAATAGACGAGAAACTTGCATAAAGTAGAATTTTCTACTATTATTACTGAGAAACTAAATTTTTGTTTCATGTTTTTCTCATTTAGAAAATGGCTGTTCGACATAAAACCATATCAGATATAATTCAAAGTTCAAGTAAGTGAAGCTTTTTTTTTTAGAGCATTTAAAACCACTTGGTGGACGAGATAGAAAACCTTTTCAAGTAGTTGTTCTTATGAATTTCTAAACTAAACCAGACAAAGAATTAGTTATAGTTAGTTTCCCTGGTGGGATGACGACTCAGACTTTCTAATTTCAGTCCTTTTCTCTTATGACAAAAGAAAGATTTTCCATTTGTTGATTTTTTACTCATCTATTTTTAATAATGATAGTTAAGGTTCAAGATGGAATGGAGATTCTCACACACAATACCTACTTAGCAACACATCACCATCAAGAATAATAACCGATGTTTGTTGATTTAGATCACTCATAATTGTTTCAGGAAAAAAATCCGATATAAATGGAATAGTACTTGTTTTGTGTTGAAACGTTGGTTCGTTTTTATTTATCAGTGACAAAGGTGGTGTAATAAATTCATGCTCGCATATGACTGATAAGTTGATATTTGACCGAAATAGTGAGCAGTACATTAGTGATTTAAACAGTTTTTCATTATTATTATTTGACAACGGTTTTTCCGGCGGTAGCGACGATGTTAGTAAACGTACGTTACCTTTGTTGATTGTTGTAAATATTGACATTTTTTTGTCAATTAGAGTTTCTTTTATGAAATTGTTTGCTGTTTTTACGAATTTTGTCGAAGCATTACATAGTTCATCGACAATTTCATTTGGTAATTTAACTCCACTTAAAATTTTGTAAAAATCCTTGCTATTAGACTGAAATGAATTATCTGTTTTCAATATGGTTATCATTTTGGATAGGTCTTTGTTATCTGTCACTATTCTCGATTGGGTAGCTTGGACATGAGGATCGTTTGTCTGCTTTACGTTGGATAATTCATCAACTACAGTCAACACTTGCGCGCACCAAGTCGACGATAATGACCAGGCCAACCGAAGGTCAGCATCCACATGCCCGCTTAGACCTGCTGGTCCTTTAAAATCCTTATTTTGTGTTGATTCAATTGCATAATCACATGCAACACTCGAAAAATGGCGACCTTTCATGGTGACTGTCCAATTATCCATTAATTTTAACGATAAATACTCATTCAGTTCACTAATCTCATACATATGATGACACCCCATTCATGAATAATTTGTATGATTAAACGCGAAACAAAATGGAATAAAATAGCGCCACTGTTTATTTCGAACTGAAAAATTATTTGTTCTTGTTGCGATGTAAAGCGTGAAGATTGGAACTAATAAGGAATGTAATACGTAATCATAATATTTGAACATGACTTTTGTTTCACATTTCTTCCTCCTCCAATGTTCAAAATCCTTCATAACACTCATTAGATGTAAAATTTCACATGAATTTAAAAATGCATCGTATAATTCCTGTTTTTTGTTTTCATCATTTAGATTTGGCAATGTATCTTTCAGTTGATTAACAATAATAGTTAGCTCCATTACATTTTGTGCATTTTCATCAATAAATTCTTCGATTTGTAACGTGTACAATGATGTAAATAACAAGATGTACGCACGAAATGTGTGATCAAAGTTATAAACGCCAATAATTCCGTTAACCACTGTCGAATCGTAGAGTACTTGGAATAAATACTCTAAGCCTAAATGAGAACCCACAGTTTCTTCGATAAACGGGCTATATAATAGGGCAAACTTTTCTTAGCAAAGCGAATAGAAAATCAGTATTTTTCGAAAAAAGAAAAACAAACGAGCGAGTTGTTTCAATCTTTCTACTTTAAGTTTTCATTTCTAATTTGTTTATACTTTTCTCATTTAGATTTAAAACTATGGAATTTTTCCATTAGCACTAGCATGAGTGGCATACAATTACTATTAGTGACAAGTTCTACCGATGGTAAGAAGCATTTTTATTTCTTGAAAGAAACAGCCTGCGTGTTCAGCAAGTTTTTTGCTAAAGTACACAAGTAAAAGGTGTACTCATTTTTTAAAACTAAAGTGTACCTGATCCACTAATAAATTTACCAAGTATCCCAAATATATTTTTCATAAAATGCCAGTCACCAGGTAGCAAGAATATATCATCGTATTGTGGTTCAGGATTGTTTGTACTATCTTTTTCTTTCTCTTTTAACAAAGATGCGTAAATCGCTTCGTCGACGACTAAGACAGCTTTTTCTTGATATTTATTATCTATAAATTCGTTTTTAGTTAACTTCGAGATAGCTGCTGGTGCATTCGAAGCCGTCGCAGGCATGTCAATTGGATTTCCATACAAGAAAATTGATGGAGGTCTTTCTTTCATTGTTAAATATAAATACATATAGCCGGATAATAATGGATATTTTGATGGTTCATTCTTTAACTTGTCAATATGACTCAATGCATATACAAATAAATTATCATGAAAGACAGTAGACATTGTATTATCCAACAACTGAAAATTTGCTGGGCCGAAATTGATTGTTGATTGTGTTGTTTGATGGCTACTTCTGTTCGTTACATCGGCAAGAGACCAGGTTGTATCTTTCGTTTTTATTTTCGTTTGGTTGGAGGAAAGATTTTCTTTGTCAAACTCAAAGTCACTGTCTGAGAACGATAAAGAAAAACTTGTAAGCAGATAATTCTCTTTCCGTTACTTCTATATATCGCTAGAGAAATGATGCAAAACACGTTTACTAAAACCGTTAGCTCTGACGTTAGAAACTACGAAAAAAAGAAACAGTCTATTTACAGAGGATTTATCTTTAGTTTCTCACTAATGTCTAAAATATTTCTGTTTTTCGTTTATTTAGAGTACAAAGTATCCAGGATGTCGATTAACTGTTCGTTTATATCGAAAACTTTTACTTGTTTATTTAAACGCTATTTTTTACATGAAATTCGATAATTCTTAAATATTTAAGTAAGTAAAGATCGTTTTTATACTTGAAAGAACAGGATAGAGTCTAGCATTTCTCAGATGTAGAAGTGACTTCGGTTTCAAACATATTACCCTGATAAGAAGTTCTCATAGAATAAAATATCTTCTTGAGCTCTACATAAGTTTACTTTCAGCAAGAAAACTTCGTACTAGTTTCTCATTATTTGTTTGCCTGTTGATGTTGTGTTTATCTGTTATGCTCTGTTGATCAATCCTGCTTATAGTGAAACCATCATTCTTTTTGGGCCTAAATTTTCTTAAAAGTCCAGTAGGTTTATTTAGTATATTTGGACATGTTTCTTGAACATGTAATGCTAAAACGTAAATCATGCATTGAAGAGTAAGCAAAAATGTGTTCGTAAAGAAAAGTTTCAGTTAGGTTGCTTTAATGAAAAAAGCGAACCTTTTTCAACTGTTGGATTTGGATGAATATACAATTGATTAACAATATGGATACTACGTTTTCCATCAAGCGAATTGATTAATAGATCACATTTGTCCACTACTTTGATAAGAAACGAGTTTTTCAACACACGTGATGGTAAGCCATCTGAATTATATTCTTTTTCAGACACTGTTGTTAATGTGCGTTGCACTGAATCATACGACGAGACTAAGCCAAACTTATTGAGCAATTCGATCGCCCTTCGGCTTCCAGTTATTTTGTACAGCGAAATTCTGGAAATCAGAAATATATTATGATTTGAAACTGATTTAGATATCGAAGTGATGAGAGGAAGGAATAGATAGCACCTACATCTCATCTCTATTGAGCCGCAGCTTAATAAAGTGAATAACTTACGCTAATAGCAATTGTTTTGGATTAAATTTACTTTTATCTTTACAAGCGATCAGATCGAAACAAGTTGATAATTGTTTTAATTGCCGACCTTGGTCACACGGAATTGCTTCAACTTTTAAATTCATCGTAGTGCTTTGTTCTATAAATTCTTTATAATCAATCTTGTTCATAGTTAATAATTTTATAAAATTGAGTAACAATATAGGGACATGTTCTACATAATCATGCCAGTTCAATAAATTTAAACTTGATGTTTTATCACTGATACCTGATTTGTTATTGCTACATTCAATTTCACTACGAATTAGAGTTGATGTTTTTATTAGAAGATCATTTTCCATGTTACTCTGTTGTTGTTGCTGAGACAATATAGTGAGCGGGGGTAGTTCAACAATGCTGACAACACCACTATCGTCTAGTAAATTCTGAAGAATAAGCTTTAAATATATGCCAAAATCTTTTAATATTATATAATTGCCTGAACGTTTGCTCGAGTAAACTACGCTTAAAGTATCAACGGTTTTTAAGCGACTGAAGAATGTTCGATAATGTGTTAACATATCTCCAAAATGTTGTAATTTATCGTAAGCATGCGTTACTCGAACTATATTTCCATCAGATAATGTAATCATCAACCATTCCAATAACCGAGCAAAGACATCATGTGTACTTGCACCAAGAACGGCTTCGCTGATTGTATTAGGATTAGATTCGAATAATTGAGGTTCATTGCAAAACTCGTCATTTTCATCGTCAAATAAATATGGTGCGTTTGCAACAGCCTTCACTGGGGTCTCAACTGAGGATTGTACAAGTGAGTCTTCTACACTTTGTGTGTCCATATTTGTTGTAAGTATTGGACGGTCACGATCATTAACTTTGTCACGGTGCACAATATCGTATAAAACGTCCAACGATGATGTAACACAAGTTTGAATTGACTCAAAAAAGTCTTGTTTGACGTCTGCAATCCTTAAATTCGAGCATAACTCGATTAAATTTTCACAGAGACTGAAAACAGTTATATCTAAATAAAAAGAATTAAGCACATAGGTTTATGGACATATATGCATAATCCTGAGGTCCTGCTCTTGTCTCTTTCAGCAGTGCTTTCCATAGAGATCTTGTAAAAGTAAGTTACTTACCAACTTCAGTGTGTCCAGATGAGATAAATTCTATTTCGCTAGGTAATGAAGAAGTTTGTGCTAAAATATATTCGAAAATAAATTCGTTTGTTTATCTTAGTTTGTCAATACTTACGCATTCTATTCACGCGTGCGCGATCTTGTAAATTTGAAGTTATAATTGTTGATGTTGAGGAGAAATCATATTGAACGGATCTGTTTTGTATACAGGTTCCTCTAAAAATAGTTTTAGTCTATGTTGAAAGTTTATGCATATTTTCTTTTTATAATTTAGTTTTGCGTATGGTTAACCATCTTTTATTTGGTTATTAGTGATCAGATAAGTATTTCTTTTGTATCTGTTAATAACATGATTCTTTGTGTTTTGTTTTTTTTCTCTTTAGAACTATCGTGCAATATTACTCCTGATACACAATCGACACATCAAGGTATAGATTGTATATATTGTATGCTCGAGTGGAAAATGAATATACTGTATTATTTAGATTATCTACTGAGAAAGTAAACGAAGTAGTTTACAAGAATTAATAAAGATCAAACACAGATGATTAGCCAACCTAATTTCGAAAGGAGCTTAATGGATTATGAAAAAATGTTATCAGTTGTGATCTGCTTTATGAAAATATCACAAGTGTGTCTGTGGAATCATGTATGATTGACTCTAGTTGTGAGCGTAGACATGATGCTTTTACCTTCTGAGATGAATAACCTTTGTCCTTTTTAAGTAATAGAATTTTGAACCTTAAAAGATAAAAAAGAATTGTACCTGATTGGTATCGATATTCAAAATCTGTAATATTGTGCGCGTCGGCGTAATAATCATTGTCACTATTATCACCATCTAAACGGGACAGTAAGAAAAAATAAACATTTATAAACAACTTTCAGATATTTTTACCATCATCCGTTGGGCGATCAGATTGGTCAACGAAAAGTTGCATTAAACCACTTGCTAAAGAAGCGCTAGGCGTAGCTTGTTGTAATTGAGTTGATTGTTGTTGATCTTTAATTGCTGTTAGCAAGTAGAAGTATTTCATCAGGTCGAAAAGAGGAATTCAACAGAAATCGCACAGTATACCTTTAATTTTTCTATAAGTAAATTTACGATAACAATTATGATGGTAATTAGCCCCAATTAATGACAAACGATTTTTCAAATTAGGAAGTAAAGGCTCCATTTCTTCTCTGAAT